GGCCAAGTGTCGCTGCCGGGTGTCACGGCCGTCGCGCTCTACCGCTGCTCGGCGCCGGAGACCAACGTCGACTACATTGGTAACAACATTGGAACTGCGGCGTCGCCAACGTACGTGCGCTGCTGCGAGCTGTGCCGCAACACGGGCGGGTGCAGCGCGTTCTCGTGGGCCAGCGGCGTGTGCTACTTGAAGAGCGCCAAGGGGGCGACGACGAACGCGGCTGGTGTCATCTCGGCCACGGTGCTCTAGCTCTCGCGTCCACTGCTGTGTTTGCATATCGTGTACCTCTGCAATACGAGATGTTGTGCTTGCATTGCGTCTTGTTGTGGCTGCAGCACGGACTTACAGCGATGGAGTAGGAAACTAGTGACGAAATGGTCTCAGAGTAGAGCATCTCAACCACACTCTTGACTCGACACGATCAAGGATCGAGAATCTGGAGTACGCTGCAGAGTCCGAGTCGCCTGCCTATGAAGTCGATTGGAGTTGCAGTTCTCGAGGTGGCCCCACTTCACCCGTCCGTCCGATCGTTGTAGCCTTCGTAGCACCCGCCATACCGCACAACAGAAAACTAGGAATGCTTGTTATGTAGTAAAAGTAGTATATTTCAAAACAAGACCATCAAATGCGCTTGTAGACCTTGAGGTAGAGCGCGCCGAGGCCCACGAGACGGTACGCGGCGTTGATCCAGAGCATAAAAGCCACGTCGTACAAGAGCGTCTCATCGTCCAAGCCGAGGTTGACGAGCACCTCTTGGCCGTTGCGCGCCGCGCACGTCTGTCCCGGGTTGCAAGGGATGTCCTTGATCGTGCTCCAATAGGCGCGCGAGATGCCCCGGAAGCCATACTTGAGCGGCGTAATGAACTCGCACCACTTGAAGTAGACGGGAATGTCGTTCGAGTTGAGGAAGAGGCCGCCAAAGATGACGCCGGGCAATAGAAACAAGATGCCGAGGATGTTGGCGACGTCCGCGTTCTTGCCGATGCACGACACCATGTAGCCGAGGGCCGTCGCCGCACTCGTGATGAGCATGATGAAGAGGTAAAAGCTAAAGAAGAGCGTCGCGTCGGACGCGTCAAAGCCAATCATAAAGTAGAGCGGCACGAGGAAGATGAGCGGAAAGACG